GCATGTGTATAAACCAAAATGAAGAAAAAATGTTAAAGCTGGGCATACAGGGATATTTTTTTTTAATGGATTCCACCATCCATACAAGCGAGGCAGATAGAGGAATCCTCCCCAATGTGTTTTATGTATTCTGACAACGGGGACTTCTCAACAGTCACAATAAACGGTTCAGCACTGCAGTCGATTGGCTGCAGCACTGGTCAAACAAAAATTTTCCAACAAGCCCGTTTGTGAGAAATCAATCATTAGATTGACTTTTCATGAACGGGAATGGCCAGAGATGGATCGAGCTTCGGCTGGTCCCTGCTCAACCAGACAAATTTCAGTCTATCAATGGCCTCAATGTAATTGCCAGATCAGCATAGATAATTACATATAAAGGTAAACATGTGTCTATGCTTAATGAACCCTGATTTCAAATCTGGTTTAAGGGTATAGGGATAAAAAAATAGATCTGGAAGGTGGAAGGGGGAACCACACATGGGCTTTGCTGGAGTTGGGCTTTAAGGAGGAAATAAAGGGAATTGTGCAACAACTATCCCGGAGGCAGAGAAACATTTGTGTTCATTGTTATGTTGAATAATTCCTGTGAGATATACCCAAAGAAGAAATGCAGACTTTACTGGTGCAACTGAGATGACACTGACATACCATAAAAATTATACATCATCTTATTATTACTTTTAAAATAATTTATATACTAAAAAACATAATTTCCATAATTAACAATATCTCCTCGTAGTTGGCAGCAGCCATTGTTGGATGTACAATCTTAGTTTATTATACAGAATATATATGTATGAACAGATCATGTAACTTAGTAGAGCACTAAGTTACCTAACTCAACGCATTTCCTGCAGCTTCTTCAGGACCATCCAAGGGGAGATACTGATAATAACTGAATACAGAACAAACGTATTAGGCATATATATAAAAACATTACATACAATCTACATTTTTAAGTACAAAGAGATGCATACGTCAAGACAAACATAAGGTGAAAGTGCACCAGCCTAGTGCATTACCATAAGACTTTAATAAATGGATAAAAAAAAGAATGCCAAATTACTCACAAAGGTAAATAATCAAGTGCATGTAAAGGTCCAACAAGCCACCAGAAGAGGTGTGTACCTCAAACAAATGAAAAAACTAAATAGTGCATTACCACTGGAGTGAGGGTCCAGGGTGTACTCTACAAAGGCTTGCTATTACTCTAAAGAGGGTAATTGTATGCATTTCAGCTATATAGAAGTGTTCACGAAGAGTGCACTATCTATTTATTTATTTATTTGTTTGTTTTATTTATTTATTTGATTATTTATTTATTTATTTTTTTCCCTTTATTTAATTTTATTTATTCATTTGTTTATGAGTGTACACTGATTGTTCACATTTATTTATTCATTTATGGTGTACATGGAGTGATTTCACGATTCATGTGTTACTCACGATTTGAATCTTGTTTCAATTTATTTTGCATTTATTTGTGTCAAGTATGTACTTATTGTTTGTTAAAGTATATACCAGCTGTTATTGAAGGTAATGCACTCTTTAGTTTTTTCATTTGTTTGAGGTACACACCTTAGATGGATCTATGTGGAGGTACAAGTTGGACACGGAAGAGTAATTTATATGGACTTTAATTTTGAATTACGAACATTGACTGTCACAAAAAAGGTTTTTCATATAATTCACTTTCAGGGGTGAAAGTGTACCTTTTTTGGACTATTGCGGGACTTTGTTGGATTTTACACAGTTTGTTATAATTAAGTTTATTATAGTTATAATTTTTTGTAATATTTATTTGTGGATACCGACATTATCTGTTTATTTAAGCCACCAGAAGCATGTCCATCCACCAGGGCACAGCGTATGCGTTTAGAGGGTAAAACCCTCTTTCTCAGAGCACCTGAGGAAGAGGGTTTCACCCTGGATATGCATAAAATGCGCCCTGGTGGATGGACATTCTTTTTTATCCATTTATTAAAGTCTTACGGTAATGCACAAGGCTGGTGCACTTTCTTCTTATGTTTGTCTTGTAGCACTGGTTTTTCCCTGAATTGAAGAAAGCAGTAAGGCGTATCTAGTGTTGGACCCTGTGGCTAATAGTGGTGGCTGTTTATACACCAATTGCGTGATAAGACTGAAGATGAACCTGCCCTAACTCTCAGTGTGGGCTATCAATTTGGAGGCCCCTGTTTCTGTAGCGCGGGCCTATTGTCTTAGATGTATACGTCAACCTACCAATCTACAACAATACATCTGGGGTAGGCAAAGGTGGTGGCAAAGAGCAGGGCAGTCCCCTGGGGTGGACACTGGGACAAGGAGATAAATCCAAACTACCACCAGCAGGAAATCACACTGGGGCTGGGTGCCAAACTTTTCATGTTCTTTAAAAGAAGAGAGAAAAGGAAAATTATCACTAAGAGTAGAACACACCACCCCATATCCCCCTCCATTATATTCACTCCCTCACAGGGGATTTACATTCTGTCAAATCCACTTTTTAATTTAATTCAGTATGGTGTTCTACTCTCAGAATTCCTGTGAGAGTAGAACCTTGTGTTATCTTTATATCTGGATAAATAAAAGTGGGGAAAAGCCCTAAAACACATTCTGCTGTGTGGGACTCGATCCTTGTAGAATTCTTAATTTCTTAATTTGAAGCTAAACCTTGCATTGTCCATATCTCTCTCTCTCTCTCTTTCTCCTCTCTCTCTCTTTCTCTTTTCTCTCTCTCTCTCTTTCTCTCTCTCTCTCTCTCTCTCTCTCTCTCCCCCCCATCTAACCACCCACTCATCCACCCACCCATCCCACACATTAATTTTGGCAAAACATTTTTCCAGTCAACTGAAACGTACGTTTGTCTTCAAGCACTAAATAAATTTATTGAATTTGTTTATGGCTATCATCCCTTTAAAGCCTAACATTCTTAATAGATTTATGTAAGCTATTCACTTTATCCAGCATATTAAATTTATCAGATTAAATTATCATGTATCAAAAACAAAAAGCTATAAAATAACTGCTAGATATGGGCTGTATGAGTCATCTGAAGACATCTAATGAAAGGCATCTAGAAGAGGTTTCCCGATAAGCCTTCTCTGTGACTGTTGATTCATCTGCAGACAATTCCATTGACGTTCCTGATGCAAGTTCTCTCCTGCAGTTCTTGCAATGTCAGATATAGACCCCAAGCTGTCACTCTTCTGACATTTTCTGTGTTAGACACAGAAAGCGGCGCTAATCCTCTTCCAACTAAAAGCTCACATAACAGCATCATTAGACTGGGAGTACAAAGGATAGTGATGAGAGAACCAGATTGAATCATTCAGGTTCTGATCTTTCATATTCAGCCTGAAAAACATGAAGACCCGAAACTTGGATGATCTGTGGGTGGTCTGAGCTAGCTGCAAACAATGGCCAACTTTCCCCAGGACTGGCCATGTCATTCAATGGGAGAAGCACTGGCGAGTTTGTTTCTTGCTTTAAATTGTCTAAAATAATGGTGTTCTCAGGATGAAGAAGAACATTTGGAAGAAAAACATACAGAGAGAAAGTTTTCCATGTATTTGTATAAGTAGATTTATTTATTTATTTCAGGTACTTATATAGCGCCATCAATTTACACAGTGCTTTACATATATATATTGTACATTCACATCAGTCCCTAACCCTCAAGGGGCGTACAATCTAAGGTCCCTAACTTACATTCATACATAGACATACTAGGGACAATTTAGACAGGAGCCAATTAACCTACCAGCATGTCTTTGTAGTGCGGGAGAAAACCCACGCAGGCACAGGGAAAACATGCAAACTCCAGGCAGGTGGTGTCATGGCTGAGATTCAAACCAATGACCCTAGTACTGCCAGGCGGAAGTGCTAACTATTTAGCCACTGTGCTGCCCATAAGTAGATCAGTAAATGGTGCAGGGCACAGAAGCCTTTACACGACTATTAATGGATTCTCCATAGTAATAATAACAGAGCAATGAGACACGCAATTAAGCTCCAAAGCTAAGATTGGCATTGCACCTGCCTGGTAAAGAGTGGTAGGGTATAGAACTCCACCCAGCTCCATCTAAAATGGATTTGGACCTTGTGCACATAGGCATAAAAAATGCCACTTTTACAGGAATACAGCATATCTTTATGCCCCTAAATGCCATGTTAGCCTGCGGGGTCATGCACATGGTACATTTAGATCAGTATTTTAAGAGCAGCATTTAGAGTCATTAAAAAATGCACCAAAACTGCATTTAGAGAAGAGCTAATTTATGTGTGTACATGTGTAATCATGAATGAACATGCATAAATGTGTACATATGAGAGTAAATATATTCCAGTGGCCAGAATAAATGAATATACTGGCCAGTAGAATTCAGTTAGGCAAAACTCACATGAGGATAACACAGCCATAAAAATTTACTGATCATTAACCGCTTGCCTACTGGGCACTTATACCCCCTTCCTGCCCAGGCCAATTTGCAGCTCTCAGCGCTGTCACACTTTGAATGACAATTGCACGGTCATGCAACACTGTACCCATATGAAATTTTTATAATTTTTCTGTGACAGATAGAGCTTTATTTTGGTGGTATTTAATCACCTCTGGGTTTTTTATTTATTCTTAAACAAACCAAAAACCGCTGAAAATTAAAAAAAAAAAGTTTTTTCTTAGTTTGTGTTGTAAAATTTTGCAAATAAGTGATTTTCTCCTTCACTGATGTGCGCTAATGAGACTGCAGTGATGGGCGCTGATAGGCTGCACTGATAGGTGGCAATGATGGGCACTGATGAGGAGGCACTGGTAGGTGGCACTGATGGGCATTGACAGGCATCACTGATGGGTACTGAAAAGCAGCACTGATATATGGCACTGATATGCGGTACTGATAGGCGGCACTGACGGGCACTGTTAGGCGGCACTGACTGGCACTGATAGGCAGCACTGACTGGCACTGATAGGCGGCACTGACTGGCACTGATAGGCAGCACTGACTGGCACTGATAGGTGGCACTGATTGGCAGCACTGATAGGTGGCACTGATTGGCATTGATAGGTGGCACTGACTGGCACTGATGGGTGACATTGAAAGGCAGCTCAGATGGGCACTGATATGTGGCATTGATGTGCACTGGTAGGCACTGATATGTGGCATTGATGTGGCACTGATGGGCACTGGCACGTGGCACTGTTCAGCGCTGACAGCTGGCACTGATGGACACTGAGAGGTGGCACTTCTGGGGCCACACTGATCATTAGGGCACATGTGCCCTGATGATCAGTGTACATGTCCCCTCCGCGGAATGCCGATTACCGGCTCTCCTCTCCTCTCAAGCTGTCAGCGTGACAGCTCGTGAGGAGAGAAATGCCGATAACCGGCATTTCCCCTGTTTACATGTGATCAGCTGTGATGGGACACAGCTGATCACATGACCGAGCCAACATCTTCGGCTCTTTCCGTAGATCGGTGATCCGCTGTGTCTAAGGGACACAAAAAAGCTAAAGTGGCGAATGGAACACAAGCTTTGCGGTGTTACCATCTAATTGCTACATTCTGAAGAACAAGGTGTGCATTACCAAGGGACAGAGTGGTTCACAGTACAGAGCCTCAGGTTATGGTACAGCTGCACCAGGTGTACAGCTCGCTTTTAATACTGGGTGCCACCTTTATGTTGATTTCATATGAACGTGGCCCCCACCTGGTCCCAGGCATTAGTGAGCACATACCTCGAAGGGAGAGGAGGCCCCATGTGTCAGTTGAGTAGAGCCCTTCCACACGAGTCCACCAGAACTCCTGTTGGGTTCATTTGCTGATGTTATGCGTTTCTATAGTGGATGTACATGCTATTACTAATCTTTTATCATATAACTTGCATTACATCTATATTGGTGTGTTTCTATATATTTATGGTCATTGTTACAGTGAAGTAAATAAGTATTTGATCCCCTTCTGATTTTGAATGTTTGCCCACTCACAAAGAAATGATCAGTCTAAAAATTGAATGGTAGGTGTATTGTAACACTGAGACAGAATAGCAAAAAAAATTCAAAAGAAATGCATGACTAACAAATTATGCACGATTTCCATGTTCATGAGGGAAATAAGTATTTGATCCCCTATCATTCAGCAGGATTTCTGACTACCAGGTAACAAGCTGAGATTAGAAGCAGTCTCTTAAAAGGAGTGCTGCTAATCTCATTTTTTTGCCTGTATAAAAGACACCTGTCCACAGGAGCAGTCAATCAGATTCCAAACTCTCCACCATTGCAAAGACCAAAGAGCTGTCCAAGGATGTCAGGGACAAGACAGTAGACCTATACAAGGCTGGACTGGGCTACAAAACTATCGCCAAGAAGCTTGTTGGTGCAATAATTCGCAAATGGAAGAAACACAAAACAACTGTCAGTCTCCCTAGGTCTGGTGCACCATGCAAGATCTCACCTCGTGGAGTGTCAACGATCATGAGAACAGTGAGGAATCATCCCAGAACTACACGTGAGGATCTTGTCAACGATCTTCAGGCAGCTGGGACCACAATCACCAAGGAAACAATTGGTAACACACTACGCCGATAAGGACTGAAATCCTGCAGTGCCCGCAAGGTCCCTCTACTCAAGAAAACACATGTCCAGGCCCGTCTGAAGTTTGCCACTGAACATCTAAATGATGCAGAGGAGGACTGGTTGAAAGAGTTGTGGTCAGATGAGACCAAAATCGAGCTCTTTGGCATCAACTCAACTCGTCGTGTTTGGAGGAGGAGGAGGAATGCTGCCTATGACCCCAAGAACACCATCCCAACTGTCAAATATGGTGGTGGAAACATTCTGCTTTGGGGGTGATTTTCTGCTAAGGGGACAGGACAACTGCACCACATCAAAGAGACGATGGACGGAGCAATGTACCATCAAATCTTGGGTGAGAACCTTCTTCCCTCAGCCAGGGCATTGAAAATGGGTCGTGGATGGGTGATCCAGCATGACCATGACCCAAAACACACGGCCAAGACAACAAAGGAGTGGCTCAAGGAGAAGCACATTAAAGTCCTGGAGTGGCCTAGCCAGTGTCCAGGCCTTAAGGACGCTAAAAGTTCAAGTTCCCAAACATCAGCCACCAAACCTTAATGACTTGAAGAGGATCTGCCAAGAGGAGTGGGCCAAAATTCCTCCTGAGATGTGTGCAAACCTGGTGGCCAACTACAGGAAACGTTTGACCTCTGTGATTGCCAACAAGGGATTTGCCACCAAGTACTAAGTCATGTTTTGTGAAGGGGATCAAATACTTATGTCCCACTTGAACATGGAAATCAGTGCATAATTTGTTAGACATGCATTTCTTTTGAATTTTTTGTTGCTATTCTGTCTCTCAGTGTTACAATACACCTACCATTCAATTTTTAAGACTGATCATTTCTTTGTGAGTGGGCAAACATTCAAAATCAGCAGGGGATCAAATATTATTTCCTTCACTGTATATACTGGATACAGTAGTTCCTCTGCTCTCAATTACTGGGAATTAGGAATACATTTCCCAGGAAAGGAATTCCCTCTGTTCACATGTTCTGGGTGGAGGCACTGCCAAATGCACTTTCAAACCAACTCTTCCAAATGTCAAAGACTCTGGTCCTTCTGGTTACTTGCAGGTTTAGCACTGCAGCCTGCTTGGGGAAGGCCATTTTTCATACCTCCCCCGCCCCCCCCCCCCCCTCCCCATCCTAACAGAGGGCTACAATATAAGCCCGGTATACGCTGTCAAAAATTGGCCAGTTCAACAAGAACCAGCCAAGCTTCGGTCCGTGTGTACAACTGTCTGTTCTACAGAAGCTGATCTAATGACAGGCTTCTGTTGAACAGGCATGCGTAAAACCAATGGTTGTGAGCGTTGATCAGTGTATTCTGGTGGGGGAGGAGTCCCCCTGTCAGAATGCAATTTCTCAGTAGGAGAGATCAGCATTGCTTGTGTTGATGTAGCGATCTGTCAATTGAATTCATTCAACCCACTGGTTGAATGAAAAAAAAAACTGAAAGTTTGTACCCAGCTTAACTTGTGTCTTATTTATACAGCGAACTGTGTGTGTCCACAGTCTGTGCTAGGTATCAGTTGTGTAACAAGAGCCTAGGTCACTGCTAATACTGTCCCTGCCACTGCTGGGTGACAAAGTGACAGTGTAATTGCAGAGGATGAGACAGCCAATTTCAGCTTCAGTAACGAGGACAGATTATGTTATTATCCCAGCCTGACTCATCACACACATCACCTGCACAGATCTCTCTCTCTCTCTCCCCCGACCTTTCCTCTCCCTCCTCCTTCTGCATTGCTTCTTCCATTGTCTCTCTTCTGTCTATGCCTATTCCTCCTCCACTGTGGGTATCAGCATGAGAGCTATGTATTCATTACACCCCAAGGTCCCCTCTCTATGCTATACAAATTGACTACAAAGAACATGATGTGATAAGGATGCCAAGGGCCACGTCTAGTAAATGCTGCCAGAACACTATGTTCTGGATTTCAGATCAATTAGAGAATGCATGCGACCTCCAGCGATGCCACCCAATACCGTCATTGTTCTGGTAGGAGGGTTTGTCCTTGGAGAATTTCTGTTCTGTGCTCTATATAGCTATTCCTCACCAACATTATAAAACGTGATAGTACAATGGAGTTTATAATTTCAGATTTAATGTCAGAGATAAAAAGAAAACGTGACTTATCAAAGATCACGTGGACCTCAAGAAAACAATAGTGAGCTTCAGACTGAAAGGTTCCTACAGGCTTTAGGAACATTTGCCTAACCCTGGATATTTGTAGTCACCTTCATGGCTGATGTTCCTGGGCTTGGCCTGCTTGGGAAAAATACATTGGCTGAAAGGGATCCTTATTGTTCACTATAATTTTTTTCCTTCTTCCATTGGCCTTAATTTGAAAGCTTGAAATTTTGTCAATAGATCATACTTTAGAAGGTTAATTTCATTGTAAAGGGTTGTACCTTATCCCTGTAAGGGGATCCTCCATTCCCTGCTACCCACTTCAGCTAACAATGCGACTAGTTTCCAGCACCATGAAGTCACAAACCATGGTACACAGGACCCAGTAGCTACCTTTAAACACTGGGAATCTCAGTCTTCCCAGCTCAACCCTGGCTGCCCATACAGGGTTACATTCTGTTTCCCAACTTTAGCTCCCAGAGATACACGGAAGGTTTTACTCTCCTAGGGCATTCCTATGGACACAGGGATGGATTGAACCACACGTAGCCTTCCGGTGAGTGTACAAATCAGCACTCACAAGTTGAACCCAACAGCCACTGGCAAGCACCAGAGGGCCATCTCTTGAGTCTCAGTCCCAGCAACTACCTCACAAGACAGGTTGCTCCAAGCTAGCATGACAAGCACCATGTTCTCAACTTTTTTCAAGGAAGAGTCACACCTGGTTGAGTTTGCCTAAAATTAAAATCTTTGCTATGTAGAAAATCCTTAAAACACCTGTCAGGTTTGTATCCCTGTCTGTGCCCCCATTAAGGAAATTCACCCTCTCCTTTTGTTCTGTTTACCATTCATCACTGAAAGTCAAACAATGGCCTAAATTTTGGGTTATCACCAGAACAGGTATAGAGTGACATCTTCAACTAAGGACATTAGATCTGGTGTACCTGATGACAATTAGGGATTCCCTCACTTTGGAGGAATTTCCTTGCACTTCCTGTTTTGGCTATGGAACAGAAAGGAAGAAATAGCTCTCCAATGGGAAACAGAGGGGTAAAAAAACTGAAAGAGGTTATAAGGGTCACGCTATCCAAAATAAAATTGGGCTTTAGTTCTACTTTAAAGAACAACTCCTGGATAGTAGAAAAAAATCACCCATGTTAAGCCCCCCCCCCCCCTACACACACAAACCATGAAATAGTTGATTTTGAAAATCCTTACCATTTAGGAAAAAATCTAATTGAATGTTCCTGACCTCATCTCTCTAATTCAAAAGATAGCATCATCTGCTCTGCCAAGCAGGAGATGTAACAGCCGGGATTACATCATATTCCTCTCCTCTCTCCCTGCAGTAAAAAGAAACTACAGTTCCCATCAACCACATGGAATTGTAATGAATGTGGGCAGGTACACTAGGCCTGTACATGTTTAATGCATCTGAGAGTCTCGGTCTGCCCGCCACTACAAGTGGGACTGAAATACATCACTGCTTCCTGGAGAAGTAACTACAGAAGGGATGTGCCAAGACCAGTGCCTGGGGGAATAGGAGGCGTAGCAGCCACCAATCTTACAAACAGGAAACCAAAGAGAATTAACGGTTTGATTTGAAAATGAATAGGCTACTTCAAAGCAACTACTGAGTGAACCAGAAGATGGATGATATATTCATTGAAGGTAGGAAATCAGCAACAAGGTCATGTAAAGAAGTTATTGCCCAGAGTTCTACTTTAACAGTAACG